GATCGAAACAGCTAGAGATGCCATGATCATGGATAGGGAACTTAATATTGTTCAGATATCAGTTCCTAAATTGATCTAATGATTTAGTGTAATTTCTTTCAGATTTTGGATAAATAAATTGTGGTATGTTCATATAATGAAATTTTACTCAGTGACTAAAAGAAAAAAAGTGAACTACTGAAACACATAACACAGCTGAATCTCAAAATTATTATGTTGAATGGACAAAGCCAGTCACAAAGTATGAAGCCAAGTGTATATGAAATTCAAGAACAGGCAAAACTATACTAATAGAAATCAGAATAGTGGTTGCTTTGAGGTGGGGAAAGATTGACTGGAAAGGGGCTCTAGGGAATTTCCTTGGGTAACTGGAAATGTTCTGTATCTTGATTGGGATGGTGGCTACCTGGTTGTGTAAATTTGTCAAAAGTCATGAACTGTACAGTTAAGATCCGTGCATTTCACTCTGTAAATTTAACTTTGAAAAGACCACATTTTCTTACCAAATGATTCCTTTTTCCCAGTCAAAAATTTGATCTTACTTCCAAGATTCCCTTTAAAGTTTCTTAAAATCTGCAAATGACTTGTACATGTCTTTATTTTTTAATTTTTGTTTTACTTATTGTCTGTCTGTCTGTATCTAAAGAACTCTCTTTTTTTTTAATTTTGGGAAGGATAATTAGGTTTATTTTATTTAGCTATTTTCGCAGAGGCACTGGGGATTGAACCCAGGACCTCCTGCATGCTAAGCATGCACTCTACCACTTGAGCTATTCCCTCTCCTTACTTATTGTATCCATATTAATCAAACTTTCTTCCCCTCATTGTCTGTTATTTTCTGATGTTGATGGCCTTGACTCTCAACTAGATATCATTTACTGAGATAGATATATTAGAAATTCCAATGATAATTATGTATTTTTCTGGTTCTCCTGTTAGATTTTTTTTCACTTTTTGCTTTTTATTATTTTGAGGCTGTGCTCTTAGGTGCATGTATATATAGGTTTTATAGCTTTCTGTTGGATTGACTCTGTTATTATGAAATGTTCCTTTTTATTCTCTCTTAATACTTACTGCCTTAAAGTCTGCTTTTTCTGATTAGTTAGCTGTACCACTTTTCTTTTGTTTTTGCTAGGTATATATGGAAAATTTGCTTTTTGTGTACCTTTTTTTTTCTATTGTTTTATTTTCAACCATCCTTTGTCCTTATCTATAAGGTATGTCTCTAGTAATCAGTATGTAGTTGGATACCAGTCTAAAATTCTCTGTTCTTTAATTGGATTTTTTTAGTCCTTTTACATTTAACATAATAACGAATGTTAGATTTAAATTTACTGTCTGTTTCCTCTTTGTCCCATCTGTTCCTTGTTTTTTCCTTCTTGTAATTGGTATTAATTAAATACTTGTTATTATTCTCTTTTTCCCCCTTGAATAGTTTGTTAGTTGTAAATTCTTTTAATGATGACCCTGGGGATAATTTCCTAAAAGACAGCGACTTCTATTTCTTTGTTTTCTTCTACAATGCTTAGCAATTCAGGGAGCCCAGTATAGATAGTTGCACTATATTCTTCTGGATTTATTCTGTTCCCTTAATATTTTTAAAGGACCTAAAACATTTTTATGAATACAGTGTTAAATAAATTAATTTGACTATTTTTAGAATCACACCCAGAAAATTTGATACTGTTCAGGCATCCAGGGGTCACAAGAGCGGAATTGTCACCGGTGATGTTGAAGACTTAACTTTAAGCAAGCGAGGAATACGGACATCATTTACATTTAGGAAAGTGAGGCACACACCGTGTAATTGTCGTAAGTATATAATTTTGGTCCTTCTGTAAAATGGAGCAAATCCATTATGAAAATCTTTTAAAGTCCCATCAGAACCAGGAAGAGCTTTGTATTAACATCTCGAATGGCATTTCTCATATTCTGCCTTGTATTGTATTTACATATACTTTAATTTTATTTTTTTTACGTATACTTTTCTTAACCACCTCCACTGGAGTTTATATTCCCTGAGGGCAAGAACTGCATCTTACTCATGTTTATTTTCTTCAAACATAGTACTTGAGCATAGTTGGATGCCAAATAAATATTTATCGAAGTCACAGTTAAGAGTACTACAATTTGGGGGCATTAAAATATCACTGTACAAAAAAAAATTTAGAACAGTTCCTAAATTACTTCTCATTTAACCCAGCAGGGAATTTGGAGATGACAGATCTTTCTATAGTAAGTAGATAACTTTAGAGGGTAAATAGAGGGTTATGTTTTAGTCAGTTTGGAAAGGAGTACTCAAAAACTTAATCAAGAAAATACTGTTTTGAATTATCTATACAAGTGTATCATGACCTGTATTTCTCAGACTCAATGAATAAAAACCCCTTTCATTTTATAAGTAATATTTTATAATGACAGTGATAGGAAGAATCTTTTTACATCCCCAAAGCTTTTGAATTTAATCATTTTCTGAAAAATATTTTAATTAAAAAATTCCTGTTGTATCTACAAGATACTATCCTATTAGAAAACTTGGAATCTTTGTATTTGATATCTTCATGTTAGTGACTTAAAATAGGTTTTTAACAGGTTTTTGTTTCTTTTGCTAAAAGTGTCATTCAGCACTTAAAACACCATCAAAATATTTTTATCAATTAAAAATTTCTTATTTAGTATTTGATGAGTGTCTAACACTGCTAGTAGCTTAATAAGGTATAGAAAAATAAAGCATGGCTCTTGTTTCCAGGGAACTTGAAGAGAGTAGGAGAGACAAGTAGTTTTTTTACCTAAATATTATTTTCATGGGCAATAATTTAATGTTAAGGGATGCTGTAAAAAGCTCTGATTGTATATTCAGTTTACGGATTATTTAAAAGTTCAAGGCCATCTTTTGGATACTTCTGGTCAAAATTTGTGGATTTAAGTGATCTTCCCTTTACATAACTTAGATGTTCATAATTTTCAAGAGAATGAAATGTTTACCAAGACCAGCTTAAGACAATTGTAATGTGTATTGTAGTGTAATTGTAATTCTCATGTAACCAACATAATATAACACATCTGCTTCCACATGTATGTTTTAGAGCTCTCAGTATTTCTGGGGCTACCCTTTTCTTAAATGTCTTCTTAAAATGTTTAGAGCTTTACTTCACACATTAGTAGAGACTAGATCGTTCCACCTCCATTCAAGGTTTGGCATCTTCCAGTTATATTTAGGGAAAATTGCTGAAGCCATCGGTGCTACGGCCCAATTCTTTGCTGTCACATGATTTCTGATTATTGCCTTAGTCTTGTCTGTGGTTTCTCCGGAAACACTGCCTCCTTAATTGTCTAGTATACCACATGTAAAAGGATGTTGTGTGTCACAGACTTTGAAGACAAAAGGAAATTATAGCATAGCAGAGAGCAGGCAAGGCTTGAAAATGAGTTTTAGACATTATTGCAGAGAATAGGGAACAACTTCAAAATTAATTTGAGACACTGTATCCTAAATTTCCTCTGTCATCTCCTCTACTTAGTGGCGGTCTCCTTAGCATTTGCTCATTCTGTTGAAGGAAGCAGCACAGTGTAGTCATTGAGAATGTGGGTTCTGGAGTTTCCACTGCCTGTGTTTAAATCTTGACTCTATGACTTACCATCTTTGTCTCTTTAGGATCATTATTTAATGTTATAATACCCTTGTGATTATTACTGAAATGACACTTTGTTTCTAGGTCTTCTGAGAGTCCTAGGGCCCCCAGAATATGTGTCTCCTTCACCTGCCAAGAGAAAAACCCTAAGTCTTGTGAATTGCTGAATTTCTTCTGGTTAGGCTGGGCCCATCAACATGCTTTCCTGAATAAGAAGACCCTTGATCCCAAGATGAAATAAGCATCTTCATTATACGGCATGCAGGACTGCAGGCACATTTTGTTGCAAATGAGTCCCCCCCTTCTTACATTAGACCCTCACGTACGTGCTCGGACGTGCTGGGAGAGAGCTACGTTTTTTCCTGATGAATCAGAGCCTGCTTTACCCTAGGCATCACGTGTCGATTGACTGGCTTTTCTTTTTAAGAAAACAATATGCCTTGTGAATCATATGGATAAAAATAAATGGTTAATACTGCCTTATTCTTTTCATTAGGTTACTATTTGGTCTGTGACAGCCAGACGAAGGAGACTCCGCCATCGTTTCCAGAGAGTGACAGAGAAGCCTCACGACTGGAGCAAGAATACGTCCATCGAGTTTATGAAGGGATCGCCGGGCACTTCAGCAGCACGAGACACACCCCTTGGCCGCGCGTTGTGGAGTTTTTGAAAGCTTTGCCAAGTGGCTCAGTAGTTGCTGATGTTGGATGTGGAAATGGAAAGTACCTTGGTGTCAATGAGGAGTTATATATGGCGAGTAGTTGTTGCTTCTGGCTGTCTTTTTGCTTTATTTGTAAGGGTTATTATCACCTTCTTCCTCAAGATATAATGTTGTGTTTTTAGTTCATTGCAGAAAATTTATAATGAACACACTCATTCTTTTTTGTTTCCATAGAAATTTATGGGCATGCTCAATTTTTTGTAGGTGTTTTGTTTTATTTTGTTGCCCCTTCACATTTTGCTTTTTAAGATTATTTTATCAGTAAAGCTAACCTTTATTTATAAAACTCTTTACAGGTTATAGAGGATTTTTATAGAAACCATTTTCTTTGCTTAGATCCTTGTTAGTATAAGAAATATAAAGATGTATTTTCATCTATCTTTTAAAAAAATTTTTAATTTATTTTTTTGAGGGGAGGTAATTAGATCTACTTATTTATTTTTAGAGGAAGTACTGGGGATTGAACCCAGGACCTTGTGCGTGCTAAGCATGTGCTCTACCACTTGAGCTATACCCTCCCCCTCATCCATCTTTTATAAATGAAGAAACTGAGGCTCACAGAGGTTATATTACTTCCTTGGTTAGAGAATATAACTGCAACTTGAAACGATGCCTTCGGACTCCCAATCTAGTGTTCTTTTTACTCATAGTAGAGGGAAAAAAATATTTAGTTTATTTAGTTAGTCTTACTGTTGAGGAAATTAAGGCTCAGGTAGATTAAAAATTTGACCAAGGTTATAGTGCTAGACCCAGGATTTGAGCCCACTACTTTCTGTCTGATGCCAAAGCTTCTGTTTTCAGTTGTTGTAATTTCCTTTTCTAATGGATCACTTTTTTCCCCGGATGCTGGGAAGTAGGAGGTTCTCCCTGCGTTAGAGCACTGTTGTAAATACTCATGTCAGTGCTGCTCTGTGAGGGCAGGAGCTTTGCTTCCTCAAGATCAGGGGAGGGAGGACGGGAGTGAGGAGAGCTAGAGCATCGGCGTCCCTGGGCTGCTGGAGTGTGTCTGGTGCTCTCTGTTTTTACCTCACCATAGATACTGTTATACAAGGAAAGTTACAACTGCCTGAGGAAAGGGAGAGTGTGCATTAAGAGGCAGATAAAAGATAGCTTTTCATCAAGATAAGACATAAATGTTCATTTATTGTCATCATGTTTACAATCAAATTTCAGTTTATAAAGAATAAGGTCCAGTGAATTTTGTTTGTTCATGTTGAAGAGGAAATAGCTTCTTGATGTGCCACTTAAAGTCACCACTTTAACCACAGTTTAAAACAAAGTATATCTTCTGGTGTTTCAATCTTGAGGTGTTGTCCAAAAATGTTTCTCAGTAAGATCTGTTTTTATACTTCCTTGGTGGTAATTTCTATGGCTTTATAAAGTCAGGTATCATTTGTGACAGTGAAACTAGGTTG